GGGCCGGAAGTGCCGGCCGAGCCGCTCCCGGCCCGCGCTCGCTCCCCAGGTGCGCAGCGGGATTAGTGGCGCGATCGCCGTTCAGCCTTCGAAGCGTGAGGCCGGGTGGCGGGGGCGCCGCTTCCGCGTTTCTGGGGAGCGATTCCTAACTCAGGAGGGGATCCCTCGCCTCCAGGCTCGGTCAGCCTCTCCGGGCCTGTTCGGGGCTCTGCCTGCCTGGGCTCTTGGCTTTTAAAGTTTACAGAGCAAGGCGTCAGCTTGCGCCCCGTGAAACCCACGCATGCTGGTTTCAGTCGCTGGAGAGAAAGGTGCGCAGAAGTGTTTTTTTGGCCCAGACCAGCAGCCCAGGAGAACCAGGAAAGCTGGGCACATACTAAATTTGCGTTTCCCCTATTTTTCCCCCGCACTGAGGTGACAGGTACATACAATTTTGCGTTTTAGCCTTTTACAAATTTTTTTAGACAGGGTCTCCCTGTGCAGTAGGGGCTGCGGCTGTCCTGGAACTCGTGTAGATCCTCCAGCCTCAACCTCGGAGTGCTGGGATTACAGATGTGCGCCATCACCCCCCGGCCTGTGCCTGGCTTTTGAAAAAAACATTTTTAGGTGTTCGGCTAGTGGGGATCGAGTATATAAATATTCATTCGTAGTGTTCTGTACCGGTCGCCGCTATTCGTGTCCAGAACTTCTTCATCATTTCAAGTAGAAAATGTAGCCTTAAACCCTATCTCCTGTGCTTTCATACTGTTTGTTATAACCTGTGTCTATGATTTTGCCTTCTCACATTTTTGTCTTGGGAACCTATGATAGTTGATGAGGTTGAAAGTGAATATAGTGAAATACTTGTTGTTAATGAACGTTTACTGTCTATTGGTTATATCGTTAAACAACAAATTTGGAGAAAATTCCAGGTTCTTTCCTTCCTTAGTTGGAGAGGAACAAAGTGCTGCACCATGGTTAACAGGTTCTTAGAAATCAAGAGAAGAGCACCCCTTAAGTATTGTTTCATTTTTAATTTTCCCCGTTTTGCATAAGGTGCCTATTAGGTTTTCTGGGTTTTTTTTTTTTTTTTCCTCCGGGAACCGAACTCACGACCTTGCGCTTGCCAGGCAGGCACTTTGCCGCTGAGCTAAATCCCCAGCCCCTAAGGTGCCTATTAGGATTTGTGAGGGCCCTGTTTGAGGGCTTTAAATTACATTTTGCGCCAGCTGATGGATGCCTGTAATCCCAGCACTCAGGAGGCTGAGACAGGAGCATCACTGTAAGTGTGAGCCCAGCCTGGGCTAGGTAGGGAGACTGACCCAAAAGAAACAAAACAAAACCAAAAGGTACAATTTTTTCCTGCATACAGATTGGAGTGTTACTACCGCCGTGTGAATTGAGATGATAGCACCAGAAATAGATTTTTCAAATATTCCGCTCCATTTTCAAGTAACCGTTTTGTGCCTGAGTCATTTGACAAACAGTACTGGACAGAATGCTTTAGAGTTAACATAGCCCTTCTTGGAAAAAACCTGAGTCTGGGACCGGCTAACTAGAGTGTATATACTTAAGGAAACTGGCAGCGCTTAGATATTTTTCTAGGCCCTGTGGAAAACTTGTTTTTGCATCACAAAGTTCTTGAAACCCCAGTCTTGAGGAGGGAGAGTGTTTGATGCTTTCATGGTAATCCTGCTGTTAGAAATTGAGAGTAGGAAGCCCCACCCCCCTGGGCGGCTCCTTACCCTCCAGGAGGGGGACAATTAGGGGATGGTTGAGATGAGGTGGAGAGGATGTCGGGCAGAGATGTTGGGTGTATGCTTTATTAACAGACCGCCTGTGTGCCCGCGTGTGTTGCTGGGGATTGAACCCAAGGCCTCTACGCCGGAGCCACACCCCCCAGCCCATTGTTCTTCTAAAGAACTGAAGTTTCTTCACCAAGGTGGGAGAGTGGGGCCAGCTGGTGGGCAGTAAATTCCAA